AAGTTTATTTATTTCTGAGAGAGAGAGTTGGAGAAAGAGAGAGGCAGAGAAAGAGGGAGAGAGAGAATCCCAAGAAGGCTCTGCGCTGTCAGCGCAGAGCCCGATGTGGGGCCCTAATTCATGAACCATGAGATCATGACCTGAGCTGAAATCAAGAGCTGGACACTTAACCTACTGAGCCACTCAGGCACCCCTGACCCTTCCTTTTAATAGTTGAGTGATAATGGCTTATATTTAGGAAACACATGCTTAAGTTTTTAGAGCTCAAGTGTCATGATGTCCTGCAATGTATGTGCCAATAGCTCCACAAGAAAATAATAAAAATAAATAGTAAAAATCAAAGTCATACACAGAAAAGAAGAAAAAAGCAAATATGGTCAAATGTTAATAATTCTTGATTCCATGTGGTGGGCATACAGGAAGTCAGAGTGACTTTCATTCAATATGTCAAGATGTTTAAACTTTTCCTTTATGAGAGATTGGAATTTAAAAAAAAAAAAAACTAATAAAAAGGAAGAAAAGAGTTAAGTAGAGTCCCTTGCCCAGTGGCGGGAAAATCAGCACACTCCCTACATTTCCTCAGGGCTCACTTGCTCTGATTTCCTGTGCCTGCCCCTCCATCACCTTATCTTTCTGTTTGGTGATGCCCCTTTCTCTTCACCCTGCTAGACCCAAACATGGACTACAGCCCCTTTTTCCTAATTTCCCCCACCCCCCCCCCCCCGCCCCCCATGCAAGACAGGTGTGTGCCATCACTTTGACCACAGATCCTGGGGCAGTGATCGGGGCCAGGATTCCATTGCAAAGCATCAAAGGGTATACATGAAAAATTGAATATTAAAAAAAAATTAATGTTTGTTTATTTTTGAGAGAGAGACACAGACAGAGCAATAGCAGGGGAGGGGCAGAGAGAGCGAGGGAGACACAGAATCCAAAGTAGGCTTCAGGCTCTGAGTTGTCAGCACAGGGCCCGATGTGGGGCTTGAACCCATGAACCGTGAGATGATGACCTGAGCTGAAGTCGGACGCTTAACCGACTGAGCCACCCAGGTGCCCCATGAAAATTGAATATTTTTCAATCAAAACCAAAAATAATGTTTGCCTTTATGGTTTTCAAATGGGTATACACTGTAACATCTTATTCTTGTAGTAATATTTTCAATAAAGTGAGACAACTGAAGGGTGCTGTTTCTAGAAGTTCTGTAGCTAGTCCTCCCACCAAGAGAACCAGCATCAGTTTTCCTGCTGGTCATCTCTTGTCTAACCCTGCCTCCTCAAGAACCAGCCTCCTCCCAGCCAGCAGATTCTCTTTCTTCTTCACTCCCTCCCTCTTTCTATCCACACAAACTCTGAATTCAACTCAATTTTCATGCAGAACCACTCACTTCTTTCTATCTTCTGTCCCCTGTTTCCAAACTCTATGTCTGTCTGTGTGGTAGGAGGTGGAGCTGCCTCTATAGAGCCACAGATCTATTAATTCATTTGGTTAAGCAAAAAATCATTTGCCCCCTGAGAGCAATTATGCTAGCAGAGGGCAAAAACATCCACACAGTGTTTATTTTAAACGGCAATTTAAAAAATTCTTGCTACCTTGAACTTTGGCTTCACCAAAGAACCCTATTTAAAATGTGGCAGACACTCAGTAGCAATTTGTATGGGAACTTTGTCTGCAAAGCCTGCTGCAGAAAGGCTACTGTCATTGGGTTTTCCTGGGTCACTAGCCTGAGAGAGGACAATTGAGACAATGGAAAGAAGTCTGCCTCCGCCCCATTTTCCCAGCCTGGTGATCTGCCCCACTATCACTGGGATTTCACTCAACTGGCCCACTGACAACTATGCTAGGTCTCTTTTTCTTTGGGGCCTTACTTTGTTCTTTTTATGCCAGCATCCCAGGCCTGTCTTGGCTCTCACCTATTCCTGGAAAACCTGTTTTCTCTGCGTTGTCCCCACATTTATGAGAGCAGGATTCAGTGACCTCTGTCCCTCACATCATTTTACCAGACCCAACTTTCACAGGCAACATGAAAACCTTCAGGATCATCATCCCTGCCCTGTTATTTCTTCCTCTGCTATCCCAACTCCCACAGGATGCTTCTTTTTGAGAGAGGTTTATTTCAGTTCTCCACTTTGAGGGAAGCCAATGCACTCTGCCTTGCTTCTGGAACCTTGTACTATCAGAAAGAACTGTGGAAACATTACTGCTCTAGATTAGCCAAAGACCTCCTTGTTCTGGATGAGACCAACTTGGAGTCTTTACTTGCAATAAAGTGGAAGTTTCAGGACAATAAGAAATAGAAACTTGTTCAAAGTTCTCACTCTCCCATCCCCTATTAAATGAGATACCAAATAATATTTAAACAGCACCTGCACTCTGGTTAAAGGAAGGCTTCCTCAGATGCAGACCCTTTAGGCCCCAGACCTGCAGGGAGCCCCAGTCAGTGGGTGAGAGTCCTTGCAGCAGCCAAACTCTGAGTAGCTAGCATAGACCCTTTCCAGGACAGGGTAGCCTTCTCCACCATTTTGCTATTTCATTGAGGCCAAGAGTTAAGATCATAATCATATCTTACCAGATTTGGGGCACTATGGGATAATGTTCTAATTTTAGTAGAAACACGAAAGAATGATTTCCAGAAAAATGAGCTTTCAGCCTAGGGTTTGCAAAAGTTGCGTATTCTCCTTCATTGTAATTGTAGTTGCCTTGCAGAGGGACATTTAGAACTTCTTGTACTTTTCTTAAAAATCTGCAATGAATAGACAGAGCCTGTTAATCCTATCTGTTTTCATAACTGGGACACATTACCTGATGGAGTAAGGAGCCCTGTAGAACCACATACCAGCAAGTGGTACTGTTCCGAGAACATCTCCTTTCCTTGAGAAGCCTGCCCCCATCCTTTTACAGGTGTGCTCCCACACTCTGCCCCAATGAGTGGGCAATGGCAACCTCTTTGTCTTGGGCAGTCAGAGTCCTTCCCACGGAATTAAGCTCAAGAGAGACAGCCTTTCCTCTCTGGAGGGAAGATTTGGAAAATGTGAGTCCAGAGCCATTGCCTGCCCCTGTGCCCATTACATGTCTTGAGCCACCCTATAGGAAGAAAGAAGGAACCCAACAACAGACAAGAAAAGCAGAGGTGAGTGATACCGAGGGGCCCCTAGTTTCCAGAGTCACAAGTCCTAAGAAGAACCCTGGGCACAGCCTTCCCAAGGTTCTTCTTCTAAGTTGTGTTTTTCTTTTCTGATGTTGGTTTTGACTTTCTTAACTACTGAAATAAATAAATAAATAAATAAATAAATAAATAAATAAATAAATAAATAAATGCTTCTATGCTTAGCTGGTTTTCTAGTGTCTGGAACCCAAAGAATCTGACCTAACAAATGGACCATAACTGATCTATCTTATCTTGAGAGTTGATATCATTACTATATGTCAGGAATTGTGTCAGGCCTTGAGCAAAGGCAGATGAGTAGGACAGCCTCCACCCTGACTGTGCTCACAACCCAGAGTGGGGGTGAGGGGGGTGGCAGGTAACATAGCTATATGGCACTCCTTTCTCTGAGTTCCTGGATTTATCACCTGACATGCAAAAGACCCATGCTCAGGATTCTCTAGCACACTCATCCCACAGAAGTAGCAATGGCCCTTTTTCCCTTTATATACCTGTTGTTTAGTGCGATCATAAAGGCCTTCTATTTGTTATAGGAATAAGAGAAATTATGCGGTCATAATAACAACAATGCCTCCTTATGATTTTCAGAGCCCTTCCAGATAAATTATCTCAAATATCAAGAATATCCAGTCCATGGAATCCATATAGTACAAAGTTGAAAAAACATCCTGTAAGACCTTCAGCTTCCTTCCCTTTCCATATCTACTCTTAATTTTGCTTTCTATGTAGGCTTCCTTACTGAGAAAAAAAATGAGCTAATGGCTGGGAGCTGGAAAGGAAGGGTGATAAAAGTATCTGATTAACTTAGTTTACATTTCCTGAAAATAAGATTAATTGGTTTCTGTTGAAGATGAATCTCAGGGCCTCAGGTACCTAAGAGAATGATCCTCCAACAATGACCTGGGAATCAAAGTTCAAGGTCTGCCAAGCTGCAACCTCAACATCTCATTCACTCATTCATTCACTGAGCTCTACTGGGTGCCATTATGTACCAGGCATTATGGCGTGACTGTCTGCAGTCTCCTGAGTTTACAACCCATTACAGTGGTTCTCAAGCTGACTTATACCCTAGAATCACTGGGAGAGCTTTAAAAAATACTGGTACCTAAATCCTACTCCCAGAAATTGTGATTTCATTAGTCTGGGTATGATCTGGATATTTTGAGTTTTAAAATGTCCCCACATGATTCTAAATGTCCAATAAAGGCTGAGAACTACTGGTCTAGGAGAGAAAGATAAATACACAGGGAATTACTAGAAAGGGTTTAAGGGTTTACAATGGGACCCCATGAGGCTCTCTCCACTCAGGCTTAGAAGACCCTGAGAGCCTTCCCAGAGGAGGTAGCTGAGATGTGAGGGATCAGGAAGACTAACCAGGTGATGGTGTTTGGAAGACAGGATAAGAAGAGTATTCTGAGCAAAATGAACAGTAAATGTCATAAGAAAGTGCACTGAAGACAGGTAATGTTGGAGAGCAGAAATGACAGCAAAGGAGAGACCAGAAGTGATAAAAATTGAACTTGAAGAGGTGAGCAAAGATCAAAACACAAGAACTGAAGTTTTGAGATGTAATTCTGAAGCCAACAGGGCTCATTATGAAGTGTGCTGTGGCAAAACAAAAGGCTCAGCTGTTAGAGATCCTCCGCCCCCTGCCCCCGCCCCCCACAGCCCTTCAAGCCCTCACTCTTATGTATCAGAATGACGCCAATGGCCACGCCATTGGAGCAGCAAGTTTAATGTAGATTGGTGACTGTGTTCAGGATTTGTCTTTTTAAAATCTTGTCTATACCTAGTCACTGTGTTTGATACATTTATAGGCTTTCTTTTTCTCCCCAGGAGATCAAAGTCACCTCACCGTCTCATTAACCTTCACTTGGCATCCTTAAAGGAGATAATGAGGTAAGTAATATTAGGGAAAGTTGTAAACACTTAAAGATTGAAAGACTTGCCAAAAATACAATACAATAAGCTAAGAAAACACCAAGCTCTGGAGCTGCTTTTTCCCTCTGATTCCAATTTATCTGCAAGATGACATTATGGAGGAGAACAGGTCAGCTTGGAGCATTGCAGAGCAGGGCAGTGCTGAGCTTCAAGTTAACCTGCACTTAGAAAAAAATCAGAGGGGAATGAAATTGCTTTTTGCTCAGGGAAGTTCTTCCAATTTCAGTTCCAGGGGAAATAGTTAATTCATGAGCCGAGCCGTGAGAGAAATGAACGCATTGGTTCCCAGAGGAAAAGGGATCTGGCCAGCTCTCCAACTGCTAATACAGATTTTAGGCTATTTTACATTTGCCCTCATGGGGGAGAAACTAGATATCACTTATCTAAAACTAAAACATTTTGAATTAGATCTGACCTGGTAGATTTCCGCTAACTCAGCCACCACACGTTGAGGTTGGCCCATTTATTCGGTTTAGAATCAGTTAACTGTGTTGCAAACTGCCTGCTCCATCTGGCAGCCCTAGCTCTGATTTTCAGCTGCTCTTGCCTGTATGAAGTTCCCTCTCACCTGAGCATCTGGAAAAGGTGGTTTGAATTTACCTTTCAGTTCCACCCTGAGTTCAGACAAAGAAGGCAGAGTATGAGCTAGACCAGTGCTTCCCAAACTATAATGTACCCCCAAGTCACCTGGGGACTTCTGAAAGGGCAGACCCCACATTCTGCCTTTCTGCCAAGTTCCCAGGTGGTGACGCTGCTGCAGGTCCATAAACCATACAATTTCTCTACCTGTTCTGACGCTCTGAGGCAATCTCTCCTCTCAAAACCACCTTCCCTATCACCTGGATCATTAGAGGATCATCTGGGTCTCAAAGGCCTTTTGTCCTTCCAGAGTCTCCTTCTTCAAACACTTCCCCTGGAGGATTAACATTTGCTGCTCCCCCAGCTAACAGTATCAGAGATAAGGTTTCAATTGGTTGAAATCCAAACCAAAATGGAAAGAGTCAGGACGGTGGATACTAAAGGAACAAAGGCAGCACGGAACAGAGAAAGGCACACATTAATGACATGATCTTCCCCAGTGAAAGGGAAACTAACAAGCGAAAGCAAAGCCACTCTTCCTGTCCTTAGAGGAGTTTCAAACCAGAGGCATTAACTAGAACACACTGGAGAGTCACAGCCTTGAGGGAAATCCCACTATGCCCCAGGATTTGTTTTGGGGGCAAATTATGTGAATTCCTGCATTAGCTCCCTAATTTGTAGAATGGATATGACAATACCGATCATCCACCTGGTATTGTTGTGAGGGTTAAATGAGTTCTTCCATCTTAGATATTGCCAAGCATCCAGTATGGTAGCTCTAACAGTCACTCAAATATAACCAAAATGCAACTAACAAGCATCGGTGAGGTTTGCAAAGTTCAGATTAGTAGAAAGACTCATGAAGGACTTTGGGAATTCAGCGAGCTCCAGTCTAGGGGTGAAAGGAATACAGGTGATCACACAATTTGTCCTGTCAGATCTTGTATTCTGTCTCAGCTCTCAGCCTTGAATGATGTCCTCTCCTCAATAACTGTCCCTGTAGAATTTACTTGCAGAGTTTTCCCCTAGAGACATGTCATATTCGTGAAGAAAACTTGCCCCAATAATTATTATGGATCCTTCTTGATATACCTTACTTAATTAGAAGGCAACACTGGAGATTGATTCCTTCACTTGCCAGTTACTAGTTGACCTTGAGCAAATAACAAACTTTCTTACCCTTGGTTTCCTGTTCTATAAAATGGGGGCAAGAGCAACAGTCTCAGATGGCTGTTGTGAAGCTTAACTGGAGGATTCTCTGTGGCCCTTGGGTAACTGCAGATTGTAGTTCCTTCTTCCTTAAAATCCCCCATCAAGTTTACGTCACCCCACTGTGACAAATGGAAAGTCTCTTGGGACCAAACAGACCAAGCTGAAGATTGATCCTAGCCTTATTTCTTCATTTTTTTCCCTAACCTTGAAATGTTCACTCCTGTCTTCTTAACTCTTACCCAAACTCATGCTGTCAGTTTTCCCGCAGACTGTAGCAGACCAACGGACTATGGAAGAAGCTGAGTTGAACATGATGTCTTAGGGCCTCTCTTTCCTAACAACAGATCCAAACAGGGCAAATTCAAATGTCTGAGGAAGTAAGCATCTCAGCTGCGGGGCCTCAGGGTGGGAACTGCTCCCAGGAAATGGCAGAGTGAGGCACCCCACTGGCAGGGGCACAGTGAGGCCTGGCGAGGGGCTCCCCTTCTTCTCCCTAGAACTCAAATGTCCCCAAGCCAAGAATTAGAAGTAAAATTGTCAACATATGGTTTGTTTCCCAACAAATGATGTTCACTTTAGGCCGTGACGATTTTCTAAAATCCCATTTAATATAACTTCATTTTCTATGAGCTAGCAGACGGGGTCAGAAGCTGCAAAGCAGAATGGCTGTGCCGTGTGTGCTCAGTCACGTTGGGAGGGTGACAGGCTCCATGTGTCTGTGTGAGGTACGGAACTGTTAAAACAAATAAGAAGAAAATCAGGTCAACACATAGGTATTATGAAGGTTAAAAAAAAATCCTAATTTGGGAACCTAGAAAGTTGATAATCTGATTTTTTTTTTTTTAATGGGAAATGCAGTGTTGAGATATATGGGAATAGAGCACCACCTTTATCAATTCTCTCATCCTCTCTGGGCCTCAGTTTCCTCATCCAAAAAATGAGGCTTGTTTAGAGTCAGAGATCACAGAGGGATTTCACTTCCTGTGCTAAGCCTAACCCACTTCCTGTGTTAAGTCTAACCCATGGCCGTGGCTACTCTGAGGACTGCCCTGAGAAGTCTGAGGCTCTAGCTGGACTGATATTACAAGAGATACTTCATATCTGTCATGAGTCTGGGGTAGCGTCGGTTATAGTTGGTGCTAAACACTTGCAACCCATGTGAATCAGATGGCCTCTGAAGTCCCTTGCATTCTTAGTAGTTGTTGGGTCTAATTTACCCACCACAGGCTGAAGGGCACAGGCAGAGGAGGATCTGTAGAAGATTAGACTGAGACGCCCAACAGATAGGAGTCCCCTAGAGATCACTCAGGAGAATAGCTTTGGCTAAAAGGCATCTTGAAGTTTGACTTGCCTTGTCACTGAACACCACTCACAAATTCAAGCCTAAGCAATACTTGTGACACAGAAACCAAAAAGCATTGTGTTTAGACAACAAAGATATAGGTCCTCATAGTTCCCTGACTCTTGGCACCTATAATGGGTTGCATGGTGGTCCCCGAAAAGATTTTTCCATTTCCTAATGCCCTGAACCTGTGGATGTTACCTTATTTCAAAAAAGGGTCTTTGCAGAAGTTAAGTTAAAGATATTGAGATGCGGTCATCCTGAATTTATCAGGTGAATCCAAATCCAATAATAAGTGTCCTTATAAGAGACTGGAGAGAAGGCACATGAAGAGGAAGAGAGGCTGTGACCACAGAGCAGAGATTGCAGTGATACGGTCAAGGAGGCCAAGGAGTGGCAACAGCCACTACTAGCTGGAAGAGGTGAGGAAGGGTTCTTCCCTGGCCTCCAGAACATGAGAGAGTAAATTTCTGTTGTAAGCCACCAAGTTTGAGGTCATTGTTACAGCAGCCACAGGAAATGAACACAGTAGCCTACAGGAGTAATGGTGGCCCTAGAATAGCTCAGGCTGGCCAGAGGAAGAGTCAGAACAGTGGCTTTGTGGAGAGGACATCGGCCCAGATCCTCATCAGTCCTTCATGCCTCCTGTGCCTCCTTTACATGGGATCACTTCTGCAGCCCCCAAGTAAGAAGGTTCTGCCTGGATTCTTCTGAGGCTTTCCACTCATCTGCACCACCTTGGCCCTCAAATGGCCTCATCCAGGCCACCCCTCATGCCAGACTTGACCTTGGCCAAGTTGTATACTCTAACTCAGCTACTAGCTTAATCATTAATCATAATTGCCTTTGTCTAGAATGCTCCTGGCCATGTTGGAAAACACACTATCAAGCTAAACTCCCTCCCCTGTATTACCCAAATGAGAGCTTGCAACTGCATGCAAAACTACTGCCGAAACTCTGGCAGCATTTGGCATCTGAGGAATGGAGCAGAAGAGGAACTCGGAAGCAAGAGAGCTCTCTCTAACAGTGTTTGATACGGAAACTTTCCTCTCCAATTTCCAGTAAATAATGCTCAAAGGGGTCATTTCTGAAATTTCCTCTTTAGGGCCTCAGAATTGCAATCTATAGGAACAGCAGTTCACAGCAAGAACAAGTGGACCAAACCATGAATTTCTTTTGATGCTATTGCCCTTGCCCTACCTTTTTCTCATGCTGTGTGTTGCTTGAACATCCTGAGGAAATCTGGATCTCACCATACAGGAAACCTCTCCCCCAGATTGGGAACTTGACCAGTCTAACTTCCACTTCTCATTTCATTTCCAGCCCTGTGTTTGTACTGAGACTTCGCTAGGACAGATAGAGCACACTGTCCTGGGAGCCCTGCCTCCCCACCGTGGTCACAACTTGCAGCAAGGAACTAATCTGGTTGACATCTCTCACTTTATGAGAGTTGTGGTAAGGATTCTATTTACTATATGTTACAATGCAATATCATACATTACTATGGTCTACTACATACCATCTGTGGGACGCAGAGCATTTATTGAAAATCTGGCAGACAGTGGCTTCTCCTCTATAGGGAAGGAGTAATGACAGCTTCCTTGCATGATTACACTGAGAATCAACATATCTGGTACAGGGGTTGGCATTGTAAAGTCCTCAGGACTTTACAGCCACCCTGTACAGTGTACTTTACAGCCATCATGACTCCCATTGTTGCTATTGTGATCATTGTTATTACCGCCCTCCCCCAAAGATACATAATCCCTTACTCTCCTCACCACCATTTCTGCCTGCTGCCTTGTGTGCTCATATAATGACTGAGCGAGGGATGAAGACAGGAGAAGAAATGTAAGCAAAAACTTGGTGCCTGCTGGATCAAAAGAGGTCTGAGCCATTCACAGACTAAGAGATGCATTTGTATCTCAACCTCTTTGATTATCTCTGTTTCATATTCTGTCCACAGAGTCCCTGTTGGACACTTCCACCTCAGAAATCACAGCAGCCCTACTGGCACTAGGCTTTGTCTCCAAAACCACCAACCTCCGTATGAAATAGACATCACCCCAAGAAGCCATCTTGCTTTATGAACGATGAGACATGTGACTCCAGAATTGCCTATTGAGGAGAGCCTTGATCCCTCCCTTCTAACTGATGTCACTGCTGGAGTCCTTTGGCCAAACACAGAGGGAAGGGCTTCTGCTTCTGTCCCCACCAGCCTGTTTGTGCACTGAAAGCCCTAGCCTCATCCTTCTTGGTGTGCTGGCTCTGTGCAGCACTTTATTTATTATTATTATTTTTTTTAATGTTTATTTATTTATTTTGAGAAAACATGAGTGGGAGGAGGGACAGAGAGAGAAAAGAGAGAGAATCCCAAGTAGGCTGTGCATTGTCAGCACAGAGTTCAAAGCACGTGGGGCTTGATTTCACCATCCATGAGATCATGACTAGAGCCGAAATCAAGAGCTGGATGCTCAACCAACTGAGTGACACTGATGCCCTTCTGAGCAGCATTTTAAAATGTGGTAGCTCTCATTGTAACCCCTCCACTGCCTCAGCTCTGACTCCTCTTTTCAACCCATCCACCTCTGCCCTCACCTCTCCATTCAGCCATGTTCTTCTATAACTATACATACCTAGCTCTTGACAAAAATGCAGGTTATCAATATTGCCCCTGACCTTCTTAGGCAAACTTCAACCTTCCTTATTGTTCCCACCAGATTACCCCAGCTCTATTCTAAGTGGGAGCCAGACCCTAGTAAGTATGACTGTCCACCCAGGGGTTGCCCCCAATTTCTCCTGCAATCTCATCACCCCAGTCAAAACTTGACTTTCCACCATAAAGTCAACAAGTCTCTTAGAAGTGCCTCTGATGAACTGGTCACACTGCCATGTAAATGACAGATGAGAAAGCAAAGGCACTCCCCTTGGGACTGGTAACCTGACAGGGGCAGACATTTCCTCCCCAAAGAGGCATTCCTCGGGGTCCTCAGTTGGCCAAAACATTGAGAATGGGTATACCTTCTCAAAAATGAGTTATTTCTACAAAGGTCAATCAGTATATTAGTTTGCTAGGGCTGACATAACAGAGTATCACAAACTGAGTGGCTTAAACAACAGAAATGTATTGTCTCACTGTACTGGAGGCTAGAGGTCTGAGATCAAGGTGTCGGCATGCTTGCTGCTGGAATGGACAATCCATTCCATGCCTCTTCCAGCTTCTGGTGGCATCAGGCATTCCCTGGCTTGTAGATGGTCCTCTCCCTGTGTTACCACATCATCTTCCTTCTGTACATACCTGTGTGCATCTAAATTTCCCCATTTTATATAGATTTCCCCATTTTATAAGGACACTAGTCATTCTGGGGTAGGGACCACCCTAATGACCTCATTTTATTTTGATCATATGCAAAGACCTTATTTCCAAATAAGATCACATTCACAGGTTCTGGGGGTTAGGACTCCAACATCTTTTGTGGGGACATAATTCAACCCATAACACTACGGTATAACATATCCTTATTTACGTCAAACATGCAATCCTGAAGACCTCATGTACTTCAAAGTTTTCATAATTAATTTTTCTGAAGGAAAAACAATAATAGTTAAGGGCACACGAGAGGGACTATTATCTCAAATTGTATCTATCCACAAACATGTGACATGTTTGTCCTTGAATATTTCTTTCTTCTCTCAGTGTTTTCGCTAATATTTCCCTTTGAGAGTTCACTAAATTTACTGCTTGGCCTATCTCAGTGGTTGTCTGGCTTGTGTAATGGCATTTTATGTAACTTGCACTGCAAAGTCACCGATTTGCAGACCCGATTTTCAGCACTCACGCTAGCCATATGACTCAATAACATCTTGGATGATATTGTTATGTGATTCAAAAAGTTTTAAATGCTTAAGTTGCAGTGACTATTAAAATAACAGCACAAAAGTAACCAAAATCTTTTGCAGAAATTCTAGTGCATGTAAACAGGAGGGTGATCCACAGTCCACCGACAAAGGAAGCAGGGTATTTCCATCAACAGCTGAAGTAACACTGTCAAATGTGAACACGGCATATAGTTCATTTGGCCCCTGCTTTGAAATTGTGTGATTTTTTTTTTTGTAAATTTGAGGAATGTATTTTTTTTTTTAGGAAACTAATTGAGACTTTGTTAATATTCTCATATCATGCTATCTCAAATTCACATAGTTCACATTTGCATTAAGTGCCATTGGACTGTGTAATAAGCACCTTTACTTCAGTAAAAAAAGAATCACAGAGCAAAACTACGCAAAGGAAGAAAGGCAGATGGAAGCTACATGTCTAGTTAAAGGCCAGTCTTATGTAGATTAGGAATAAATGGGTTTTAGCCATGTCTCTGGTCCGTGGTCTTTAAATTATTTATTCCCTGGTCCTCTCTGCCTAGCTCTGAAGTCCTCTAACAAAAGAAATACAACCTTTATTATATGATTTTTTTTTTTTTTTGTCCTCTCCTGCCTCCAGCCACCAAAATGGGCCCGGGTATAAATGCTAAACTCTTAAAGCAGAATGACATGAAGGCATGATGAGGCAGTCAACTACTCAGCAGTACTGTGCTATGGGAGGCCACAGATCGGGAGTCCTGAGACTTGGCTTTTGGTCTTGGCTCTGCCACCAACAAGTTATACTTCCTGGAACGACTTGTTTAATTTCTCTTGGCTTTCCCTATAGTGAATGGTTTTGTCCGTTTTTGTTTAAGGGATGGAAAGCCAAAGGCAATACACAAGATGCACAACTGTTTCCTTATAGAGAGAAGCATGGGTCATGTGAAGGGGATCTCACATCATGAGCCCTTGCTTCTCCCTACAAAATCCATGGTTCTCCCAAGTCCTCGGGGAGACCAGAGGTGTCCTGTGCCATGGAAAGTGCCTTGGACTGTTCTCACCGGTTTTGCCAATTGTCTCATTACGAATGGCCTCACATGTCCCACTCTACCCCTGCTTTCATCTGAATCTTCACCCAGCCCTGGTGGGGAAGAAAGGCTTTCTTCTCAGGACACTGTGCTGATCCTGACTTTGATTGCCTGGCAGGTCCTGGACAGGCCCACCCTACGGCTCTCAGATAGAAAGGCCCTAGGTAGACACAGAGTCCATATTTTCTGAACCAAAACACATGATCTGTTTCACAAGAGACTTATGAATTTTAAAAATAAAATAATCTGAAAAATATGGAAAGCAAATATTTAATTTAGCCTCTAATTAATTTCCTTCATCAAAAAGGAACAAAATTACATTAGAGTTATCTACCAACGAATCCCAGAATGAGTTTCCCCATTTTTGTTGAGGAACTGCAATCCTCTCCCCCCACCCAGCTGGTCTCTGTTGCTAATTCCATAGCCAAGCCTCATATCTTCTTTCCAAAATTCTTTCCTCTCTACATAAAGGAAGAAATTAATGTTCAGCCTCCTGGAAAAATAAAAGGAAGAACATATCTTTTCCCAGGTCCTAGGATCTTCAGTGTAAAAACACATTATATTTGTAGGCTTATTCTTTTCACCCCGTCTTCAACAGTGGTGTTTCCAGAGAGATTTGGAATTGTGCTCTGGATTCATCCTCAACATCTGGATGGGCTTGTTTATGTCTGATTGTTTCTCATTTTATGGGGGTGGGAGTGGAGAGAGAAAGGCATTCAATACTCAGCTCTTGCCTGCCCCACCAGCCCTAGCAGCAACTGGTGTCAGTAAATGAAAATGACCTGGGGTTCTAACATCTGTGAACCAGGTTTCCTGTAGAGCTGATGTACAAGTTGGAGGCAGGAGGGAGGTTGAATTCAGGAAGACAGTGCCTTGCCTTTGCAAGGTGCAGTGGGGGTGAATGACTTCTGGAGGAAATAAAAAGGCCTCACAGGCATGAGTATCATTCAACTTATTTTCTTCTGGAAAGATTGTTCAGAGGCAGGCTGATGAAGAGGTCAGAATGCACAGTTATTTTAGAGCCATTCCACAATTTCTTCTGTACTCAACCAAAAGGTCATTAAAGTTGCCAACAGCTGATGTTGTATGCCAACTTACTTGCAGGAGAAACCGATTCTCACAAAGCCCTCTTGTCTCAGATCGGTTTACTGGCCTGACAGCTTTCAGAAAAGAGGAGGAAGCAGATGTTCTTCTCCTTCTGACTTCAGTGGGCTTCCCACTGACCTCTCCAGCAGCAGAGACCTGATTTAAGCCCAGTGGGTACCTCTGAACCAAAGTGCTGCCTCCCCTCTGGCATCAGGTCCCTGACCCCAAGCCTCTCTGGTCCAATCAGTGCTTTAGAGGAACAAGGTCTCTTCTAAGTTGTGTTTGTATTTTTTTAAATGAAGGAATGGTATTTTCTGGTTTTGAAAATAACAGAGAGATGCAGCACTAACTCTGAAGGTGAAAGTGGCAGGCTGAAGTGCAACTGTAGACTCTGTGACCTGCCAACTTGAGTGACAGGCTATTTACACTCATTAGGGGACTCCAAGAATTGAAGGCCTCTGTGGATTTCTTGACTTTTTCGAATACTTAAAAATAGAGTGTTTTTTTTTAAAGGGCATCATTTAGGAATCATCCAATTATCTTATGATTTATAATCTGTATGCTTAAGCTTCTGTGGAGCTTATCAATACAGTAGAGGCATTAGTGATTAATAATTAGTAGTGAGAAACCATAAAGGTTCAGAACGTGTAGTTATTTAGAGAGGCAGCACAGCCCAGTGGTTAAGGCACAGTCTCTGAAGCCAGCCTACATTTGAGCCATGGCTCCATGACCTTGGACAACTGACTTAACCTCTCTGAGCCTATTTTCCCACCTATAAAAATAGCATGAGAAAAGTACTTTCACATGAGATTGTTTTAAGGACTAGATTCTTGAGTCAAGACCCAGGCATCAGTATTTTTTTTAACATCCAGATGATTCTCATGTGCAGCTAAGCTCTCCAGCCAGAGGTCCCCCTTGCCTGTGACCTTTGGCTACTTCTCAGAGGATGCCAAAGTAGAGGAGGCCCAGATTTGATGGGACACCTGGCAGGCTGAGAGGAGGGTGAACGAAATCTCACACAAGCTTCTTTTCCACAGGCACTGTGTGCAGGAAAGTCTCCTCTCCACCCTGGATGTCTACCTCATGTGCCACATAAAAATTAAAAAAAAAAAAAAAAAAAAAAAGCCTTCCAGCAGCACCACTGGCCCAAAGCACAGCCATGACTTTCCCACACTCTAAGTGGGTAGCTCTGCTCAAAGTGTACAAACTGATGAGTGTCATTTCTGTGCTCCAGGGCCGAGGTCTAGGGGGTCTCCAAATTGGTCACTTCCTGCAGTTCGTGGCAGAATGTTCCTTCTATGACACCCAGGAAGCTGAAAGGTGACTGCTCTAACCATGCCTCCTCAGCAAATAAGGGCTTCCTCATTCATTCATAATCATTAATCTAAGCGATTTGAACTGAATTTGAAACCCAGTTGCATTACCAAGGCATTTTCAACCTAACGTTTGTCAATGAAAGACAAGAAAGAGCTGTTTGATTCTTTAAATATCATTTTTGAATTGTTGTTACATGGTTTTAAAATTTTTATTCCCAGCCTTGAGAATAATGGTTTTTGTCAAGAATTTTAAAAGATCATCATTTAAAATCTTGCTCAGGGGTCGCCTGCGTGGCTCAGTCAGTTAAGCATCTGACTTTGCCTCCGACTGTGGTCTTGTAGTTTGCTGCTGTCTGTGCAGATCCCACTTCAGACCTCCTGGCTCCCTCTCTCTCTGCCTCTCCCCTGCTCATGCTCTCTCTCTCAAAAATAAATAAACATTTAAAATAAATAAGTAAATAAATAATAAATAAATGAGACCTTGACCAGAAACTGCATTTAGCCATTTCATGCATAAAACCTGACTTTTTAAAGATTCTATGTGGAAGTTTTATACAAATTCATTTTCTTAACATAATTATGTAATATAAAAAATTATTTTTTCACCAATAGTCATGGAGATACCCCTAACTCCCCTTGAGCTTCTCCCAATGTGCTGAACAAATACCATTGTTTTCTTTTTTTTTCTTATTTATTTTTGAGAGACAGAGACAGAACATGAGTGGGGGAGGGGCAGAGAGTGAGAGGGAGACACACAATCTGAAGCAGGCTCCAGGCCCTGAGCTGTCAGCACAGAGCCCAATGCAGGGCTCGAACCAATGAGCCTTGAGATCATGACCTGAGCTGAAGTCGGACGCTTAACCGATTGAACCACCCAGGCGCCCCTACATATCGTTGTTTTCTATGTGTGCTGTGATGGGTCGGGAAGCATGGCCTTAAAGAAGTTTTGCGTGAAACATATGCAAGAATATTTATCGTGAGACAAACAGTAAACCACCCAAAAGTCCATCAACAATAGAATGGACAAACGATGGTGTGCTCATTCAATGGAATAGGTTGCAGCAAGGGAAATCAATGAATTTCAGCAGCATGCCAACATGAATGAATCTCAAAACCTTGAGATTAAGCAAGGAAATAAAACAAGCCACAGAAGAAAACATACCAAGGCCAAAAATAGGCAAAACCAAACAAAAAATCTGTGATTTTTAAAGGGAAAATAGAACCATTTATTCATTTGAGTCTGCTCAGAGCTCAGAGACTTGAAGTTTGATGGTTTTGTTCTACCTGGATCCTCTTTCCCCGGAATGATTTGGTTTGTCCTTCCCTGTAATTAGGTCTCTGTTCAAACAGCACCTTAACTGTGTGAGGTCTTCCTAGACCAGCTGATATAAAATCCTGCCAGAGAACGTGCAACATACACACATGCAGACAAACCCACAAATGCACACACCACACAACAAATACACACCAAGCGCCTGTCTCCTACCCACCTTATTTGACTTTTCTTCATAGAATTCAACATGTGGCATACAGATTTGTTTCCTTTCTGTCTCACCCCAGCCCCCCAAACAGCAGGAACTCGTTTTGTTCACTGCTGCCTCTCCAGCACCTGTAACTATGGCTGGCACCTACTAGGAGTTCCATTAAAATCTACTGGATCCAAATGAACATGTATTTAGCACCTACTTTATCACAGCCTACCAAAATCTAGTGCAGGTACGAAATTTAGAGTCACCAACTGGCGTGTGGAAAAATGAAACCTTGTTTTGCCATAATTGCACCTTATTTTGTCTCAGAATCCAGTTTTCACTGGTTGAGAAAATCTAAAACTTTCTATTCCAAAGTAAACCTTTCCCTTCTGGATTTTCCTGCAGGCTCTCCTTTTGAGCAAACAGTCAATACAATATTTTACCCCACTCCCCACCTGGCCCTTGTTTCTCCCCCTCTCCTTGGAGGTGAGTTCGTTCCTGAGAGGTGGGGGCTTACAGTGCAGAGTGGGGGGCCCCCCACCTCCTTCATACAGGCTGTTGCATGCTGACATCTGTGACAGTCTTACTTGTCCTGCGGGACCTTTGTTCACAGACATCTGTCTCCACTGTACCCACTGATGAAATATTTGAATTCCCCCTCCGCTCTCTGCTCTCAGGAGCCACCCACATTACTGATTATTTTTGTTCTCATTGCACGGCAGTTCCGCCACCTATGAGCCCCTTTGAGGGGCGTAGGCAACTTTCAGATGACTTCCTGTACCACCCTAGAATTGCAAGAGATCGGGAAAAGGGATGCAAAGGTTTTCTCTCACATCATTTCATGTCTATTGCACCTCTCCCACGTTGATCTATGACGTTGCTGCCTCTTCAGACTTCACCCAGAAGGAAGATGCTCTGAGGTGCCCCCAAACTCACAGGAGTCTCCCTGGCATCCACCTCGAGCATCCTTCTCCTCTAGCGAATCAAGCTTGATCTCAAATCCCCCCACGCAGCAAAAACAAGCTCTTCCATCATCCTGAATCTCTCCCTATTCTCCAAAAACTCAAAGAACTTTTTCTCTCTCAAAAATCTTGGCTCTGGCTCTATTACCAGAGGTTTTCAAAGTAGTTGACTCTATTCAGAAACTCGACTGATTCTGAACTCATCAGCTCCCAGAGCAATGAATGACTCAATGGGTGGAAAGCTGGGGGCAGCAAGCAAAGTGAAGAAAAGAGGAACATCTGTTGTTTTCTTGGAGTTTTATCTCACCACAGCAGAACCCATGGCACCAAAAGAGCTTAGGAAATGGCTTTACAAGTTTAGGTAGTGCTTTATTTATCTAATCCTTTGGGAAATCTGCAAGAGTACTTTTTTTTTTTTCTCTGTCTAACAGATGTTCACTACCTGCAACTCCCATTTTTCTTTGTTTTTAACAATTCTTGATGGAAATATTTGTACCGCATATTTCACATCTTACAAATGTATTCAGTGTATAATCTAGAAGATATGGCCCAATTTTCAAAAGAAAGTTGTCTTATCAAGAATATCAATTATTACCTCATGCTATTTGATAGCTCTGAAAACTATCATGGGTTAGGGAAATGAGCAGGATGGCTTGACTTCTACTATATCCTGGATCATCTGTTATTCTTTCTTCCACCTCCTTTCTGATCAGCTTTTCTCAAGGCTGCTACTATTTCTGAAGGCCAGGAGGAGTGCCTGGGCACCCTTTCTGTCTATAACAGATTGTTCTTGCTTCTCCAGGTGTGGTCCTTGGGCCGTGGCATCAGCATCACCTAGGAGTCTTCAGAAATGCAGAATCTTGGACCCCTCCCTAGATCAACTGAAGTAGAGTCTACATTTTATCACGATCCCAAGGTGATTCATGGACACATTAAAGTTGAAGAAGCACCGCTCCAGATTCAGTGCTTCCTGAGCCAGACTGAGTCCTGGCCTCAATCCCAAGAAATGTCAGTTCAGTCCCAGCTCAGACCTGAGCTGCCTCCTACCTACCCACCCCATGTAATTGTGATTTAGATGACTTGTGGCCCAGTACTGGGCTGACTTTCGTAGGTACAGAACAATTCCCAGTATAGGATGAGCTAGGACAATTTTCCTTCACCTAGAGTCTGGACTGACATTGGGGCAGTAAGTCAAGGAGGCAGCTAACAGGAAAAAGAATGTGGTAGAGAAAAGCATCCTCAGATACTTTTTTGTACATAAATCCCATCAGCTTTATTACAATGATAAATCATTGCAGTTGTGGTTACAAACATACGTACACTTTTTCCTGCATATCCCCCAGATTGTACTTCTGTGACTTATTTTTATCTACAAAACATCCCTTGGTATCTATCATGACTTGATTTCACCTGAATTGCAATTTTCCCTGGACTGGAGGGAGGAGGGGCGGATAGGGTGAGATCAGCTGGTCTCTTCTGACCCCTATCTGGATCTTATAACTGTAGGTCAGGAGAATATGTTCTGGAGCTAGACTGTCTGGGTTCACGTCCTGACTCTACCCTTGTCACTGAATGGTGCAATGCCAGTTATTTCAACTCTCTGCCTCAGTTTCCTCACTTATAGTATGCAGAGGATCATAACTGCCCCTACCTCTCAGGTAAGTGTAAGATTTATATGAAATAATCACATGTAAAGTGCTTAGAACCATAGCTGATACATAGCAAGTGCTCAACAAATCATTGTTGTTATTATTACTATTATTATTATTCCTAAACCCAAATAGAAAGCCTTAAAGCCACTTTTATTTCCTCCTTAAGCCATTGACCTTGAAGTCAATTTATTTCTCATCTCTGGATCTCAGTTTCCTCATCAGTAAAAGAAGGTAAGAACAGTGCTTACCTCACAGTGGAGTAAGAATAAAATGAGATTTTTAGAGAAGCACCTAGTGGAATATCTGACACACATAGGCTCTGAGCAAATCTTAGCTGCTTTCTCTCCTTTGCCATGAAAACAGATAGTCAACACAACTAAATGTTATGTTATCTTACATGCAATTCACATTCAAGAGGCTAGTCGCAAGAAACACCTATTCACCCTTCAGGACCCACCTTAAATACCGTCTTCAGTGTAGCTCCCCCACACTCACACAGGCACCCCATCACTCTGTATACCAACTGCCCCCATAGCACTTAGTCTACTGGGTTGTGACACATCTGCTTGAATGTACACCCCCCAAATTAGATTGTGCACTGGTTGGGGACAAATCTCATATTTTATTCATATCTACATCCCCAGGAGACCAGACAGGGCCTTACGCAGAGTAGGCAGTATTAGTGGCATGGATAGGTGGATGAGTTGGTCAGTGGGTGGGAAGATGGGCAGAGATAAGGAAGCCTGGGGAAGTTCCTTAGCCCTCCTGACATCATGGAAAGATGTAGAGATGTGTTTAGCTCCTCTTGTTCACAGTTGTGTTGGAAGACTGGAGCTAAACTCTGCAGGTAGAGTGCAGTACTTTATTAAGTTATGGGTAAGGAGCTCTTTCCATCTAGGTGGAAATTCAGACAGAAAATAGAAATGAGTTCATAGCATTTAGGAGTTCCATTTCCATAGCTGAAGAGTACTGGGGTTGTTCAGAGTTTATGCAAACCTTTTAGGATGGCGTCCTACGTCTTCTCTGATCTGGTCTCACTGTCTCCTCCCAGGCTCCGTTCTTCTCTATCTCTTCTTCGCTACCTCCTGAGAACATTTTCAGTCCAAGAACATTTTCCAGGTGCCCATCTCAGCCAATTGCTCCCTCTGCACACTCTCAGAACACTACTGAATTTTATGTCTTTGCATTGTTACTTACCCATTTTACAGATAAGGAAGCTGAGAATTAGAGAGATGATGTAATTTGCCCAAGTTCACACAGGTAGTAAATAGAAGCATCAGGATTTGAATGTGGCTGCGTGGCTTTAGAGCAAATGCTCTTGAACACCGTGCATAGAGCAGGGGTGTTAGCTTTTTTAGCAGGTATGTCAAAAGCACTCTGAAAAAGGGGTGCTGATGAGCTGACTAGCACAAGCCATTAAAAAAAAGAGAATGCCTAATTACCACAAATATTAACTCTTGGTTACTCCGGTGATTAATCTCTTTATCCATATTATTCTCATGGGAGTAGGGCATATGTATATGTATATATTATATATTATGTATATATGTATATGTATATATATGTGTGAATGTGTATATACATAATATATACATATTATATATATGTATATATTATATATATATATGGTATCAATGTATACAACATATAAATTGTTGATTTCAAATTTATAATCTGTTTCCATGGGCCAGAGTAAAGGCTGAAGTTCAAAGCGGGGTCTAATTAACAGTAACAATTATTCTTTTATTAGTACTTTTTTCTACTTGCTATTGTAGGACTTAAAACCAATGCCAAGCCTCCCAGTATCTGTTTATTTCAGAGAAGTCTTTTTTTTTTAATTTTAAGATTTTAGTTTTAAGTACTCCTTACACCTAATGTGGGTATCAAACTCACAACCCAGAGATCAACAGTCGTATGCTCTACCGACTGAGCCAGCCAGGGAGCCCCTCAGGGAGTCCTTTGAGATGTCATGGACATGAAGACCATGCTGGCTACTAACACGTGGACCTTATCTTCACCTGTGTTCTGGACACAGGTTGAGGCTTGCTAATGCTGCTTCTGCTCTCACTAGTATGACAGCACCATATTTCCCCCAATTTACCAAAACCATATTATAATCTAGGTATATGGCAAGAGAATGCCTGTCTCCTTTGTTATTTCCCTTAGGACTCTAAACTCCAAAGTGATTTTAGATTATGTTTGTGTCCCCCAAATTTTAGCAAGACCAGGTCTTTTAGTTTTGACTAGACTCCCAACCACTGGGCTAGTGAAGAATTCCTAGTATGGACCTTCTATTCCTGTTCTTTAGAGCTCTACCTTCTCTAGTACTCACTTTCCTCCCTGCGCTTCCACACTCAGAACCAGACTCAAGGTCTGCATTTGACTTTGAAGCCTCTTTGGACTTTACTATTCCCTGTAAATTTCTGAGGGTAATAACACCACCTTTTTTTGTTTTGTTTTGTTTTGTTTTGTTTTGTTTTGTTTTGTTTTTTTACAGTTCTTTTCCAAATAAACAGTACATCTTTGAACTTCTTATTAATCTTTGTCACCAACCTTGGGGATGGGCAAGGCTGGTGTTAGTTACTGCCCCAATCTGTAGGTAAGGCAATGTAGACAGGTATTAAGGAAATACAGAAAATAACATACGATCCCCAAAGAAAGGCCAGGATCTGGCCTTGTTTAGCATAGGTGGAGAAACCTGAGTCACCATGAAATCCTAGTTTTCAACTTCAATGATGAAAAAGTCTCTTACCTAGTAGCTTGATGGGGACCAGATGTCCCTTTCCTAAGTTTAGGACAAAATGAAAAGGAACACTTTTCTTGCAGCTTAGAGTTGATGTGTGGAAGAAGGTTATGATGAAGACAATACAATGGCATTAGGAAGGGAACTTGTGGACAGTAGGTAAAATGAGCATAGATTTTCATTTCTTTGGGATTGCTTAAGGAGTCTCTTAGAGGGAAATAAATTATGTAACCACAGGACCTTATCTTGTGATATGGGTTCTTTATGTCATCCCATTCCCAACATGACCAGAAGAAACCTGGAATAATATTTTCCAAAGAAGTTTCTGCTCTTGAAAGAAAAGTAGCTTATCTGGTCACTTAACTTTAGGAAATTTTGGGTTAAGAAAAGTTAAACAGGTTGTTTTTTGTTTTTTGTTTTTGCAGTATCTTTTTTTTTCCTCTTGGGGATATGAATCTCTGACAATAAAATAATATTCTCTATTTTCTTAAGTATTTGTCCACATAACTCATTCCTCCCAGGGTATTTTTTAGGGCCCAATTTCACAAATTGCACTTTGATCCAATGTGTAGGTATTTCTATAGAAATAGAATCTCTTAAAGAGGTTCTAAGACACACCTCTCTCCTAAACAGCCTTTCCTTCTGGCCCTGCCAAGGACCAATGGGACATCCTTTCACAGGCAAAGCCTTTTAAAGAGGTGTAGGATTTGCCCTTGGGTTCATTACAGCAGAATACCCAGGAATCCAATTAATCCTCAGGTCCAAGTTCCAATTCCCAGTCCCTGGCCTTCATGGTTTCCAGGTTCTGTGTTCATTTTCCTGATCAGGCCATGTTACACTGAATTGTGTCCCCCCCAAATTCGTGTATTGAAGCCCTAGCCCCTACTGTGACTGCATTTGGAGATAGGGCCTTTATGAAGGTAATTGAGGTTAAATTAAGTCATAAGGCTGGGACCCTAATACAAAAGGACAGGTGTTCTTACAAAAAGAGGAGGAGACAGAGACAGAGACCAGAGAGCTCTCTGTCTCTCTGCACATGAGCAGAGGACAGGCCATGTGATGACACAGTAGCAAGGTGGCCATTTGTAAACTGGGCAGTGAGTCTTTACCACAAACCAACCCTAGCAGTTCCTTGACCTTGGACGTCTAGCCCTGATAACTGCAAGAAAATAGATTTCTGTTGTTTAAGCCACCCAGTCTGTGTCATTTTGTTATGGCAGCCCTAGCGGCTAGTACAGGCCATTGAGATCCAAACAGGTCTCTTCCACAATTAAGAGAAATCTCAGCGCAGTAAATTTCCCCATAGCCTTCTTCAAAGAAATATATATCTGGGATTCCTTCTGCCCCATTGATTATTCCCTAGTCACTGGCTCCTATAATGCAGAGAAATACTCTTCTGCCTTTGAGCATCCTATAGAATAAGGATCAGCAACAGGCGAGGCATCACCTAATCTCAACCATACAAAGACTCCCGCAGGACCAAGGAACACAGGCAGAGAATTTCATTGTCTCGGCATCTCTGCTCCTATGCAAACAGGATTTGCTGGAGAAATGATTCACCCCGCCTAAGAAAATTACCGTAAAGTAGTTGCTAATGACTATCCAACGACGACTGCTCGGTGCGGAGCACTGCAGCCACCTGACACAGCACAAATCCTGACATTTTGGCAGCGTTCCTTTGTCTTACATAAATCGTCTCATCTTCGCAAGGAACTGGGGCTGCCAAAAGCCCCAGTGAACAAACACAGCCTGGCAGATGTCATGATGGGACCAAGAATACAGGGTCCTGGAAAGGGGACCGGCAGGCTGACACACCTCCTTAAGTCCCAGGAGGCATGGGGAGGGCAACAGACACAAGCTGACCTGCATGTTAATGTCTCCCAAGTACAGAGAATAGAACATGGGAGACAGAGGAGGAGAAGTTGGTTTGGAAGTGTTTTAAAGCAAAACCAAACACGTCTCACCACTTTAACCACTGAGGAGATTTTCAGATTATTCAAAGGCAAAGGCATCCTATAAACAAAATACAAGCACATAAAACGTGTTTTTAACTGGAAAGAGCAATCCAGGGCTATTTTAGATGCTTCATATAACAGAAATATTTATGTTTTTAAAATTTATTTATTTGTTATTTGATAGAGTGTGCAGGAGAGGGGCACAGAGAGAGGGGGAGAGAGAATCCCAAGCAGGCTCCATACTGTCAGCACATGGAGTCCGATGCGTGGCTTGATCTCATGATCATGATCTGGGCCGAAATCAAGAGTCAGACACTTAACTGTCAGAGCCACTCAGGTGCTGCCCCAGGAATATTTATGTTTAAATAGAAGGAAGTAAAATGGTTAATTGGATTCTTTTGAAAGAAAGACCATTAAAGCATATTTTTACAATAATTGGTACTGTCCTGCCCAGGGACACTTGAGTCCCCAGAAGTCCCTCAGGGAGTATGAGAAATCACCCCGCCTGCAGTGGCAGCCTCTTGGATACATCTTTTACACTGCCACCATGCCACCATGATGAAAACCATGTTTTCAAACTGCAGAACTTTTCACATCGCCCCCTTACTTAAAACCCAACAGTTGGTTCTTTTTGCCTTCCAAATGTAATCTAAAATCATCAGCCTGGGCCATGGGCTTCTTTATAATGGTCTTCTGCATATCCCTCTGCCATCATCTCCTGCCCTCAGACATCACCCTCCACTATTGCTATCCAAACTGCTTACTCTCTTCATCTCCACAACTTTACACATACTATTTCCTCCTCTACTCTACTGAGTGAATTATAGCTCATTCTTCAAGATATGGGTCAAATTTACCCTTCTTTTCATGTCTCTAGGCAGTGTCACTATTCCCTCCCCTATACCCCCAGAATGCTCCATTCTTCCCTCTGATATAAGATTAGTATTCAGTACTGTGACTATTAGTTAGGATGTATTGATAAATGTTGGGATGGTGGGCCTTTGAGGCAGGCACCTTTCTTATTCAACTTTGAATCTATTTGATACCCTCTAGGCTAAGCATATTATCTGTTGGCCCAGAAAAATCTTTTCTTATGAAAACATGTGGAAACAAACAGACAAATGAAAAACATGAGGTGATTCATAAAATATCCTGAAGCCTATGGAAAAAGTAATGTTTCCTGAAAACTTAGAAGAGTATGTATATAAACATGTCTTTCAACAACCAAGAAGGAAGGAAGGAAGGAAGGAAGGAAGGAAGGAAGGAAGGAAGGAAGGGAAGAGGGAGGGAGGGAGGAAACGGGAAAAAATCAAAAGGTATTGGCTTTGTGTCTTCAAAAAGACATGGAGGGCATAACCTCCAGAAAAGAGGATCAGAGAACTACAAGGACAGAAGAGTTGAGATGAAAGAATAGATATAGTAGGAACTTGTGAAGCTGAAAGAAAAAAAATACAAAAAAGCAAGGAATTACAAAATGCAAAAGCAAAACCAAGACTGAATTAGAGCCATAAACAGTGATTTCTCATAGTTCAGCTATGTTTCCCCACCTGGCACATCAGATCCTGGCTCCTTCCTCCTGCCTGATCTGTGCTACAGAAGTCCCAGCAGATCTTCTGACTTAGCCCCCTCTTGTTATGAATCTCTGCTATCTGGGGGATATCAGCTGAGGGAAGAGGTAACAAGAAGGGCATGTAATTAGCCTTCTTGGGTATGTAGGCAGCTGCATCTTGGCCACTGGGTGCCAAAAAGTTAAAGAACATAGGTCATCTAAGTAACAGAAAGGATAAACAAAAATAAAAATAATAGTAAAATAAGAATAGAGATAAAGATTCATCATGTTTACGAAATTAGTATTTTGCTTTTTTAAAGATGATAAGTTAAGGATCTGACTCCAAAAGCAAAGTCAACAAAAGCAAAAAGAAACAAGTGGGGCTACATCAAACTAAAAAGCTTCTTTCTGTACAAAGGAAATCATAAAGAAAAAGAAATATCAACCTACCAAATGGCAGAAAATATTTGCAAGTCATATATTTGATATGGGGTTAATATCCAAAATATATAAAGAACTAATATAATTCAATGGCAAAAAACAAAAACAAAAACAAAAACAAAAAACAGTCTGATTAAAAAATTGGCAGAGGATCTGAATAAACATTTTCCAAAGAAAACATACCAACAGATGGCCAACAGATACATGAAAAGATGTTCAACATCACTAATTGTCAGGGAAATGCAAATCAAAACCATGTTAGGTATCACCTCATACCTTTTAGAATGGCTATTATCAAAAAGACAAGAAGTAGCAAGTATTGGTGAGGATGTGGAGAAAACAGAACCTTTGTGCACTGTTGGTGGGGATGCAAACTGGTGCAGCCACTATAGAAGAGTATGGAGGTTCCTCAAAAAATTAAAAATAGAACTACCATGTGATCCAGCAGTTCCACTTATGGGTATTTATCTGAAGAAAATAAAAACACTAACTCAAGGGCACCATGGGTAGCTCAGTAGATTGAGTGTCCAACTCTTGATTTCAGCTCAGGTGATGGTCTCAGGGTTTCTTGGGTTCAGACCCTGCATCAGGCTCTGTGCTGACAGTGCAGAGTCTGCTTGAGATTCTCCCTTTCTCTCTACCCCTCCCCCACTCGTACTCTTCTCTGTCTCTCTCAAAATAAATAAACTTAAAAAAATCCAAAAAGATATTTTCACTCTCATATTTATTGTAGAATTATTTATAACAGCCAAGATAGAGAAACAATGTAAGTGTCCATTGATGAATGCATGGATATGTGGTATGTATGTATGAATGAGTGAATGAATGTGTGGAATACTACTCAGCCATAAAAAATAATGAAATTTTGCCATTTGCAACAACATGGATGGATCTTGAAGGCACTATGCTAAGTGAAATAAGTCAGACAGAGAAAGACAAATATCATATGATCTCACACATATGTGGCATCTAAAAGCAAACAAACAAATAAAAAAAACAAGCTCATAGATACAGAAAACAGATTAGTCATTGCTGGAGACAGGAGGAGGGAGGTGGGTGAAATGGGTAAAGGAGGTCAAAAGGTACAAACTTCCAGTTATAAAATAATTAACGGGGATGGAATGCACAGCATGGTGATTATAGTTAATGATATTGTATTGCATGTTTGAAAGTTCCTAAGAGAATAGACCTTAATAGTCCCTATCACAAGAGAAAAAAAATACATAACTATGAATGAAGATGGATGTTAACTAGACTTATTACTGTGATCGTTTTGTAATATAAACAAATATTGAATCATTATGTTGTACACCCAAAACTAATATAATGTTGTATGTCAAGCATACATCAATAAAAATTTTAACAAAGATAAGAAGTTCTATTTTTACAACACCAGGATATTCAGAAAATACCCCAAAAGTAAGTATTAAAAAGAAGTAAACACTATCCCCAAATTACCACCAACACTGTAATCTACATTTTTCCAAAAATTTTTCATGGTAATACATAAAAAATTGCATAGTTATCCTACACTCATACTCATATCCTACATAATTTCCTTAAGTCTCTGTTGAACATAGCCTATTAGAATAAATAAATTTAGCTGCTGTAAGAAATAAGCCCAGGGGTGCCTGGGTGGCTCAGTTGGTTGAGCGTCCGACTTCGGCTCAGGTCATGATCTTACAGCTCATGAGTTCGAGCCCCACGTCGGGCTCTGTGCTGACAGCTCAGAGCCTGGAGCCTGCCTCGGATTCTGTGTCTCCCTCTCTCTCTGACCCCAACCCAGTCGCATTCTGTCTCTGACTCTCTCAAAAATAAATAAACATTTAAAAAAATTAAAAAAAAGGAAATAAGCCCAGAAATCTGCATCTAAAATGATAAAAGTGTATGACTTCACCAGATCGCAGACCACTGCACACAACAGAGCCATTCCCCTTGCCACACCAAGGATACTTTCAGCCTGTGATGCTAGGAGCATGAGGCAACATCTTCAACATTCCTTGTAGGTCACTATGGAAAGAGAAGAAGGAATGGAAAGCAACGTGGGTTTCTGAGAGGACAGGCCTGGAAGAAGCATGCATCACTACTGCTGACATCCGTGGACTCGATTTCAGTCACAGAGGTAAGGGTCTGACTCCAAAAACAAAGGTGACAAAAAGGAGTAAGGGTAAAAATTTAGCTGCATGCCCAACACAAAAGGAGACACAGAGACTAGTGAGCATTAGCAGTCTTTGGGTTGTGTGGTGGTTTCAAAATATGTCCACCAATTACCTGATGCTCCTCCCTTCAAAAGGTAGAGCCTAATTCCCTTACCCTTGAGTGTGGAAGTTCTAGCAAAGCGATGCAATGGTGTATGGCTTCTGAGACTAGGCCGTAAGAGACATTGCAACTTCCTACTTGCTCACTCTCTCTTCTCTCTTGAATCACTTACTCTGAAGGAATGTCAGCTTCCTGTCAGGAAGACACTCAAATAGCCATGTAAAGAGGCTGAGGTGATAAGGATTTAAGACTCCTGCCAACAGCTAGCAACAACTGAGAGAGACTTCCTCTTAACCGCCAGCCATCTGAAAAGGCCATCTTGGAATTCATCTTCTAGCCCCAGTCCCACCTTCAGATGATTGCAGCCCTAGCCAACATTATGACTGCCACCTCATGAGAGATCCAAACTAGAAATCTTAGATTTTGACACAAAACCTGTGTGACACAATAAATGTTTAACATTTTAAGCCACTAAGTTTTAGGATAATTTGTTATATACCAATAGATACTTAATGGAGCATAGATCAACACACACAGCATAAGCCTAGGCAAAATGTCGCCTAGTGGGACTTTGGGCCCAGACCTAAGATCAAACCCTTAATGGAGGCTCAGTGACTCTCTTACTTAAACGTGGCAGCTATGAGAGTGAGAAGCAAAGCTGACAGAGACGCTTCCTCTATGTATTTCCCTTCGGTCCAGACCGTATTCTGGCCCTCTAAGTATTACCACTCAAAGGGTCAGGTAAAGCCATTCCAAGGGAAATCATGCCAAAGAAAAACAAAGAAGAGGAAGGTGGAATCTGAATCTGAACAACATGTTCCTGGAGGTAGAAGGAGGAGGCAGCCCCTTACCCCTCTTACAGAAGTAGTGCCAGGAGAAAGGAGAGCAAATTTGCAGAAAGGGAAAAGAAAAATGGAAAACTTCCCATTCTGACCTGGAATCAAAACCTCTTTCCTTGTTTCTCAAAATTCTCTACATCAAAGTGCTGGGAGTCATTACATATCCTTATACACAGATCCATTCACATTAGAATTCTTGTGACGTGGGATGGAGTGGGTTAATACAGAGGATCTTTATGCCTTCCTGGGAGACCAAATGGTGTTATTTCCTGGCCTCATTCTTCTCTGCTTTCTGATAGTAAAGGCTGGAGTCTGGCTTAATTCCATGATAGAATAACAATTTCTAACAATAGCCTATCTTCTCAAGTTCATTTTCACTTAATAACATCATATTCTAATACACAGAGTTACTCAAACGAATAACCAACAAAGTCTTTCCAAATGGAGACAGAAATAAACTGCCTTTAATGGACAGAGTACTTAGTACATTAATTGTTTACATACAGCAACAAACATTGATTGCATTGGTTTGTTAATGTCTAAAGTTCTTAAATGATTTTTTTAATAAATTAAAACTGTCCCCTTTTACTGAATTATCACTAATTATTTCCATCTTGACAGCTCATTATGCTTTGGGTAAATTATGTTTTTTAATGTTTATTTATTTTTGAGAGAGAGAGAGAGAGAGAGAGTGGAGGAGGGGCAGGGAGCAAGGGAGACACAGTATCCAAAGCAGGCTCCAAGCTCTGAGCAGCCAGCACAGAGCCCTATGTGAGGCTCAAACCCACAAACCATGAGATCATGACCTGAACCAAAGTCAGACACCCAACCGGCTGAGCCACCCAGGCGCCCCTGCTTTGGGTAAATTATTAACAAATTCTGAATTTAGCTCAAATTAAAGAAATGTTTTACCAGCAATAGCAATATGGCTATTGTTCAGCAGTCAGTTTTATCCCTTGTTTGAAAGACTAACTTGCCTGGTAGGCCCTTTCTAAGTGGATAGAGATAGGTAGGTAGATAAGTAGGTAGACAAGAGGATGGATAGAAAGAAAAAATGAGGGGTGCCTTGGTGGCTCGGTCGGTTAAGCATCTGACTTCGGCTCAGGTCACGATCTCGTGGTTTGTGAATTCAAGACCCGTGTCAGGGTCTGTGCTGACAGTTCAGAGCCTGGAGCCTGCTTCAGATTCTGTGTGTCTCTCTCTCTTCCCCTCTCTGGTTTGTGCTCTGTCTCTCTCAAAAATAAATCAACATTAAAAATTTTTTAAAAAAGAAAGAGAAAATGAGATAGGGAAAGAGAGAGAGATGGGTGTACACAAATAGAAGGCATGGCTGAAACACACAGGAGACAAAACGTCTTGATTGCTTGTCAGAAAGCGCAACACCCTGAGATCTGAGACCTGGTTCTGTGTCCTACTCTGGCACTCAGAACTTTTTCACTCAAAGCAAGTAACTGAAAGCATTCTCAAGTCCATGTCCCTGTTCCTGATAGGGAACACCACCATGCTGTCCTGCCTATGGGGTTGAAATACTTAATATAGGTGCCAGTGCTCTAAAAGAACAATCCAGAGTGCAAGAGATCATGCAGATGAAGAAAAAATGCCTCGTGTGGCCACCATCTCCGATTCGTAACCCTCCACTTCCAAAGTTGCTTTTGCTGCTCTGAGGAGAGTAGAGGCAGCTTCTTGCCAGAATTCCATTGTGTTTAGTTCCCCCTCACGCTTTGTTCTTGCCTACCCCAAACCTTTGCTTCCAGAATAGGCCCCAGCTACTGCTAAAATACAATTTAACTATAAAAAGGATTTTAATATCTCTGAGCACATGACAGCCAAAACCCAAACTCTGATTAGATTCCTTGCTATGCTTGACCCTAAACTCAAAGCACCAAAAGAACAAAATTGTTCACTCTTTCTCCTCCCTCCTCACATCTAGTGTGTTGGAATGACCTTTGATGACCTTTGCCCTCCCTTCAGGTCTAAGAATCTTCACCATAGTATCCCAAGGCTGTATCCAAAGCCACCAGATTCTCATCATTTTACCAAGCCTACCCTGAGCTCCCAAGACCACCACACAGTTAATCTACCCCTAGGACACTCCCACTCCCACCTCCCCAAATACAGGACAGTGCAGAAAGGGCAAGTTCCCGCCTGTCTTTCCCCATCATATCCTCTGCTAACCTGTGACACAGCATTTTGGTCAAAGCAGAGTTGAATGAATCATAAATGGTGAGAGAGTTCCCACTTCGCAGTTTTCGGCATGGATGGCACCTTACCTTAGTGGATTTGTCAGCTGCTTTTTCGGGCTCAGGAATCATGCCAGCCTTAGCAGCATAGCATAGAGCTCAAGAAAAACTAGCCAAGAAACCATGAATGAGATATAAAATGGCAAATGCGCCCTAGGCTGATGGAGGAGAAGACAGATGTGTAATGTTAATCAAATGATTCACAGGTGCCTCTGGGTCTTTTCAGGATTGCCAGGACCCAGAAACACTTGCATCATCATTGCAACTGTTTGTATCAATGAAGTAAGTTTTTCATCGGCCAACAAAAAATACTCAGAGATGATCTCCAACTTCTGTTAATCCAGTTTGGATTTTAGGGGAGCCAGAGAACTCCAGGTAACTGTGAGTTTTCATCACCTCTTGAGCAACTGAATGAACATACTAGTCACTTTAAGATCCTTTTCCACAAGTCAGCAAAATCCCTTTTCCCTGGCTTGGTGTCCTTGGTCCCACTAGGGAAATCTCCTAAGTATTCATGCCTACTTATTTACTCTAAATGTTCACTCCTGTGCCCCTCTTAGTGGCCACCAGAAAATATATTTATTGGAAGCCGCCTCAAAAGTAGGCAGTTTGCAATGGTTTTGAGGAGCCTGGCTTCAGCCCAGTGTTGCCATGACTTTTGTGACTTTTTATTGCCATTGCCACTACTGCTACCACAGGCAAAGGATTATGAGAAACCAGATCTATTACTATCTCAGCAAATGGTGGGACCAAATAATTCTGAGGATCTTGGAGGGGTGAGTGTGTCACATTTTATTTATTTATTTATTTATTTATTTATTTATTTATTTAATGTTTATTCATTTTGAGAGAAAAAAAGAGAGAGAGAAACCAGAGGAGAAGCAGAGAGAGGGAGAGAGAGAATCCCAAGCAAACTCAGTGCTGTCAATGTAGAGCCGGACATGGGGCTCGATCTCACAAACCATGAGATCATGACCTGACCCAAAAATCAAGAGTCAGATGCTTAACCGACTAAGCCACCCAGGTGCCCTGTGTCCTATTTTAAAATCAGAATGTGAGTAGGACTTGGCCGTTTTCTTATACTAAGTAAGAGCAAGCTGTCAGCTGCTGGGCTCTGGCCCAGATTCATGGTCAAAGACCTGGGCTTTGTGGCTTTGAGCTTTCTCTACCTTCACTCCTTTCTTCCACACAGTGTGACAGTCTGCCTGGGGCCTCAGCAATACAGGTTGCACATAGGTACAACCAGGGAGTGGGAAAGTTGATCCCTGGAGAGGACCCTGGGTAAATTCCCAGCCTCGCCATGCTTGGGTGGGAGTGTTCTGAGGCACGTTCCACAGTTTCTCCGAGTCCCTAGAAGGACTGAGTCCCCACTATATCCTACAGCCTCCTCATCAATGTGTCCTGTGTTGGCTTTTTCCTTCTCTGTCTCACTTCACTCCCTGCTTCTGCTTCCTGGGATCTCCTCCCAATAAGCCACCAGCACCTAAGTTCTTGCCTCAGAGTCCTGCTTCAGGATGACCTGAAAAAAATGAAGACCTCTTATTTCTTTTCCTCTTTCTAAACTGTGCTGGAAACTCACTTTCCCGGAGGCAAAGCTGAAGGTAGTGGATCTGGGGTCTGAGTCATGGGGTGTGTCAGGAGGACACCAAAGGATGCTGAGGACATGAGCTGGATAAGCCCCTTGCAGTGCCTAGCTAATGTCAATAGGTTCCGTGATGACATTTATTAAGAGAACATAGACATAAAGGTCGCCCTTGCTCCATGTTCCTGTATGGGAACTCCCC